TCGCGCCCACCAGCACCTGAAAAAACGTCGCGGACCGTACATTTCCCAAGCGGTGCTTGTACTTTTAGGGGTGCTTCCCTTCGCTTCCCTGGGGAACCGGATGGGTCAGCCGAAGTTTCGCCGGGGGTCCGCCCGGGGGCGCCTCGTACGTGGGCGCCCCCGGCGGACCGTCTCTGAGACTTTTCCGGGTGTTGCTAGAAGTACCCCTCCCTCCTCCCTCCTCCCTCCTCCCTCCTCCCTCCTCCCTCCTCCTCCTCCTCCTCCTCCTCCTCCTCCTCCTCCTCCTCCTCCTCCTCCTCCTGGCCCACGGTGCCCCCAGCGTTTCGCTCCATTTGGGAGCCCCTGGGGCCCTCTGGGCCGCGTGATGGGGTGCTTTGGAGGCCGTCGGGGCTACCCCGAAAATCCTGGGGGGCCCTTGGCCCAGGAGCACCTCTGGCAACACCCGACGGCCCTCACACCTCTTCTCTTGCATGATCACGCTCGATCTTTGGTACGTCGAGCGTGTTTTTCCTGCACGTCGCCCTGTGCACGTCACGCTGCGTCCCTACTGTGCGTCATGCGTGCTATGTCAGTCACTGCACGTGCACGGCCATACGAGCCCGTTTCTTTATTGCTTGGGGCATGACGGGCGTCATGGCCCCCGCTCCCCGCCCCCCCCTATGACGTAACGCTCCCCCCCAGTGCGCTCCGGGCACTGCCGCCGTGCGCATTGGGATCCGCGTAGGTGTCCGCGTAGGAATCCGCATAGGTATCTGGTCCGCAGGCGTCGTCGTCGTCGTCGTCGTCGTTGTCGTCGTCGTCGTCGTCCGTCGTCGTCGCTCGTGGTTCGTCGCTCGTCGCTCATCGTCGTCGTGCGCGCGGACGCGGCTGGAGCCTGTTTTTGAGTCCGGGCCGATGACGGCAATCATCCGGGGGGGGGGTCGATGACGTCACGTTTCGCGGCGGCGGCGTCTGGGAATGCTTAGGAATGATGGAGGACGGGTAGCACGAACATGTAGGTGGTGATCTGCGCCACAACGCCTGTGTACATCACAGTGCCCGCGTGCACCGCAGCGCCTGTGTACACCACACCGCCGATGTACACCACAGAAGCCGCGTGCAACACAGCGTCAGTTTGTGCCACCGTGCCTGCGGGCACAGCAGCTCCTGCGTACACCACAGCGCCTCCGTACCCCACATCAGCCGTGCGCAACACAGCACCAGTGTACACCACAATGCCTGCGTGCATTGCAGTGCCTGTGTATGCCACGGCGCCTGTGTGCACCACATCAGCCGTATGCAACACAGCACCATTGTTGTGTATAGAATTTCAGAAGGGATCCTTGTGACAAAATGGAGCGCATGTGGATTCCAGAGAAAACAATGGAAAACAAATCTTCATGGACAAAGGAGCGCCGCTGGAATCTACGAGTCCCCCCGAGTCCGCCCGCATCACCCTAACTCCCATTTGCGTCCAGGAGGCTCTAGCTAAATTGGCCGTCCGAGAACCAAGTGGACCGATTCAATCGACCATTTTGCGGTGCACGCTGAGATGCGCACGTGCGTTGTAAAGCCAAGCCGCACGACAGGGGGTAAGAAGGAGGAGGAGGAGGAGGAGGAGGAGGAGGAGGAGGAGGTGGAGGTGGAGGAGGAGGGAGGAGGGAAACACGTCGCATTCGATTCTCAAAACTTTCCTGGCGTGGCGTTTAGTTGTCCGCAGCAGATCCTGACGTACATGCTCCTTCTACCTGTCCTGTGCACGCAGGCGCTGTGGTGTACACCAGCGCTGCGTTGCACGCGGATGCTGTGGTGTAGACAGGCGTTGTGGCGTGCACAGGCGCTGCGGTGCAAGCAAGCACTATGGTGTACACAGGCGTTGTGTTGCACATGGCTGCTGCGGTGTATGTACACTTGCGCTGTAGTGCTCGCAAGTATTGTGGTATACACGGGCGGTGCGTTGCACACGGCTGTTGCGGTGTACCCAGGCGTTGTGGTGCACACGCGCGGTGTGGTGCACGCGAGCTTTGTGGTGCACACAGGCGCAATGGGCAGATCGCCACTTACATGCTGCTCGCGTCGTCGTCGTCGCTCGTCGCTCGTCGCTCGTCGCGTCGTGCGCGCGGGCGCGGCTGTGGTGCCCCAGCCACTCGGCGGGGGGGAGGTCGTCACGTCATACCCCCCCGCCCTCCCCCTCCCCATGACGCCCGTCATCGCCGAACATAAAGCAACGCGCTCTACTCTAGATGCTTCGCGTAGATCCACCAGTCCATCCAGAAACGATGCCCAGGCGAGTGGCCCTGATCAGGGATGTGGAGGAGCATGCAGTGGCATGAAGGGCTGTGGAAGCCGTCATACCCCGAGATGGGGAGGATGGAGGAATAATCGGAGAAGGAGTAGGAGGGGGAGTGGGAGGGGGGAGGAGGGAGCAGGGCGGAGGAGGAATAGGTGGATGAGGAGGAGGAAGAGGAGGAGGAGGAGGAGGAGGAGGAGGAGGATAAGGGCGAGCAGGAAGGCCAGATGTCTCTTGGATGCCTCTCGGAGTATCTTCGGATGTTTATTGGGAGCTTCCCTGAGTCCTCAGGGAGCGTCTTGGGGGCCTCTTGGCGGTCCCTGGGGCCTCGTGGAACCTCTTGGGTGCCTCGGGGAAGCCTTTTGGGGCCTCCTGAGGGTCTCTCGGGCCCCTCTGGGGGACTTCTTTGGGGCCTCTTCAGGCCTCCTGGGCGCCTCTTGGGGCACTCTTGGGTGCCTTGGCGGCCATCTTGGGGCCATCGTAAAGGAGATCGATCGAAGAAGGGGGGATACTAAGTTAGCCTTGCTCCCCAAGGAGGCCTACGTGGGCCCCAAACCCAAGTAACATCAATGAGTATTGCTTTCTCGCCGAGGCCATCTTGGAAGCTCCAATGGGTTGCGGCCCCTCTCGTCCAGGTCCAGGGGGGGAGGGTATGGGGGAGGGCTAAGCCCCTCCCGGAAGGGGAATAAGGGGGTCGGAAGAGGGAATTCCCTAAACCAATCACGCCCTAAAGGGCTGGTGGTGTGTGTGTGTGTGTGAATGTGTGTGTGTGTGTGTGTGTGCGTGCATGCGTGCGTGCGTGCGTGCGTGCGTGCGTGCGTGTGTGTGTGTGTGTGTTTTTGTTTTGTGTGTGTGTGTGTGTTTTGGTGTGTGTTTTGTGTGTGTGTATGTGTGTTTTGTGTGTGTATATATGTGTGTGTGTGCTTGTGTGTGTGTGTGTGTGTGCGTAGTCTCGTCCTCCCACCGTCCCCCCTGCCATCCACGCTTGGATGGCTTATGGCTGCCGGCGGCTGCGAGACCCTAAGCGGTCTTTGAGGGCACGGGCGCTTCTTGTCGCGCGCGCGTACTTGCTGCTTTCCGACCTTCTACGCTCTGTCGCTGCGCGCACGGCCGCGACGCCAAAAAGTGTGTGTGTGTGTTGTGTGTGTTGCGTGTGTATACAGGACTTGCGTGCCTGCAAGTCCTGCATGTGCGGGCTTCGCCTGCCCTCTCCCACTGAGTTGAGTGATCTCCCCGCACGCTCGCTCGCCCAGCGCAGCCACCCGGCTGCCGCGCCTGACGACATTCACGATAGCGTGTGCCCCCATGCTAGAAATCGCTCTATTGGCGACACTCGGGCGGGGCAAAGTGTGTGTGTGTGTGTGTGTGTGTGTGCGAGGCCCTGAGTGGTCTCCGAGTGCTCGGGCGGGCTTAGACGCGCGCGCGCATCGCTGTCTTCCGACCTTCTACGCCCTGGCGCCGCGCGCAGGGCCGCAACGCCCACAAAATGTGTGTGTGTGCCTTTCCTCGCTGACTTGCTCCGCTGCCTCGCACCGCGCGCCGCCTCGAGGCCCGAAAGTGTGTCCCTTCTCTTGAGCGCCGTGCCCAACGCAGGTTACCTTCCCGAGCCTTCCTCGAGCCAGGATCGCAATCAATGTGCTCGCTAGTCGTCCAGACTTTGGCGCCGCTGTGATGTCACATCCCTGGCAGAGGAGCAAAGTGTGTGTGTGTGTGTTTGTGTGCTTGGGTGTGTTTGTGCGTGTGCTGCTTCCTGCCACAAGCGAGGACCTTGCCCCGCACTAAGTCTGGCCAATACCGCGCTGGCCGCGCAACTGCTTGATTTGCACCGCTGGCTGTAGCCCACTGGCGCGTCGGAAGAAGAGCAGTGTGTGTGTGTGCGTGTGTGTATGTCTGTGTGTGCGCGTGTGTGTGCCTTTGTGTGTTTGTGTTAGTTTGCGCCTGTGCGTGTGTGACCTTCTCCCTTCGTGGTTTGCTGGCCCTTGCGTTTTCTTTGTGTTCCCTGCCTCTACTTGTCCTTCATTCGTCTGGCTTTCGTTTTGCAGTCGCCGAGGGCATCGGTTTTGACCACGCCTCCGCCAAGGGTGGCGAATTCATGGTGGACGCGTCCAGTTTCCATGTGCCCGTCGAATGGAGTTATCTGCGCGTCGGAGAAACATGTGTGTGTGTGTGTGTGTTTCGGTTCGAGCGCGATCGCCACACGGGCGATACAGATTTGGCAAACGCGCGCTATTAGATGACATACAGCTGCTGCTGCCACGCGACGGAGGAGGAACACACGTGCCTGTGCGTGGCTGTTATATACTGGACTTGGCCCCGTGGGATGGAGTTTGACTGCGGTGGGGAGGGTGTGGTATAAAGAATCACCAGAGCATTAGCGTGCCGAAGTTGGTGACATTCTCGTTGCGTGCTAGCGCGCCGTGAAATTGTTACTTGGGACCGTTTTTTCCCCCTGAGCTCGCGCCGCGGAAATGTTACTGAAGACCGGCTTTCTCTGCGGGCACCACCTCTGTGTGCGCGTGCGTGTTAGAATACTGGCTTCCCAGAGGTCTGGACCAATGTTGTGTTTTCATCCCGAGTCGCACTTTGACAGTCCTGGGGCCTGGCGAGGGCCCCCAAATGCCAGAAGCGTTCAAAGGCCTCCCGTCGTGGTTTTTGTTTTTCTTTGCACGCCGCGAGGGAGGGGGGAGTCAGGGTCCTCCCTCCCCGCCCGGGGCGTTCTCCCGCGAACGAG